AAAATTCACGTGGGAAAATTCACATGGGCAGAAAGGTTTGCCTGTTCTTTACTGCAACATTCAAAGTGCGTGAAAAAACTTAGACCAATTATGCGCTCATTTGTCGCACCATTAGTCTGTATACGATGTCATTGTTGTAACCGAAACCTGGTTGGAAGAAGAAGAATCTGCACATATTCCAGGATGCACAACACTATCCCTACCCAGAAAAAGGCAATTTGCGTGGACGGGGCGCTGCCCCGTTCTTAAAAAACAAAGCATTGATTACCAGAGCATGTACAAGCCAACCTGAATGAGCAGCCCTGTTTCTGCATTTTAGGTGTGGTGTAATACTCGGAGCAGTTTATCGCCCACATAGCTCATCTGTGGCGACCTTTATTTCTACCACGGAAAGTATCTTAGACCCTTTGTGAGCCTACAACTTCCCATTGGTTATATGTGGCCATTTCATCATGGATCTGCTTACACATGAATATACAGGCCACGCATTGATGCTCCAGTCGTATAATCTAAAAAACATAATCAATGCCCCTACGCAGATAAGTGACAACTGTTCCTCGCTTAGTGATTATATAATTTGTGGCATTGATATGAGTATTTTCACCGGAGTGTACGACAGTTCTATAGCTGATCACTGTAACTTTTTTATTTATGCCTAATGTAAATTTTTGACTTCCTTATCATAATTATTCAAACCGAGTTAGATGGACAAACTATGCTGCAGTACGAAAATTAATTGAATGTATAGATTTTAAAGCCTTATACCACAGCAACATTCACACCGAATGGGAAAATTTTATTTGTCATTGAATAGATGCAATTACTCGCTCAACCTAAGAATACACAGGCCGCAGACAAAAAGAAGCAATATGTCCTCAGGTGATGTGGGACATTCTGAATGTTATTAAAAAAAAAGCTGCATACTTTACTAGATGGATGCAAAACAAAACAAATGAATACTACAAAAAATCAGTTTAAACACTTCAGAAACAAATCAGTAGGGGTGCTAAGAAAAGCCAAGAAGCAGTATTACAGTGCTATAATAGTCCAACAGAGCGGCGATGTCAAGCCAGTATGGAAGCTCGTGCATAAGGTTACGAGAATAGGCGTGCATATTTCTCGTGATAACCTGACAACAAATACTGCTGATAACTTCAATAATTTTTTTACCAATGTTGGTAACAGCTTTCCAACTCAGTCTCAAGCAGCTCGTCTTCATTTTTACGAAAAGAAAGTTGTTAGTGAACACTTTCAGCTTGGAAGCGCAACCACTGAGGAAATGAGATTGAAAACCCTAAAGCTCCCCTGCAATAAACCGTTGCTCATGGTGGCAAGGCTACGAAAGTACTAAAGAAAAGTGCAGACCTCCTTTCGTAGCCTCTTTTCCACATCATAAATAACCGCCTGCAAAACGGCATTTACACAAACATCTTGAAAATTGTGGGAGTGGTACCTATTTACAAATCTGGGGATCAAGAGTCCACGCAGTTACCGTCTTATCTCCATGCTCAGCATTGTGAACACGGTTTCTGAAAAATTAATTATGTCCCGTATCTGCCAGTATTTAACCTCAAATGACATAATGTGCATTGAACAACATGGTTTCATCACAAATAGGTCGACGACCACCGCTGTACTTACTTTATGCTAGTTCACCGACTCGGCATTTCATGATAACGAAACAGCCGTCAGCGTTTTTTTGGATATAAAAAAAGCATTTGATAAGGTTTCGCATTCCATACTACTAAAGAAACAAGAATCATACTGTTGCGGAAGAGAAGATGGTTTCACACTTTACTATTTTTGTAGTTATCCGTCAGATAGGTATCCGTCAGATAGGAAGCAATTACTTGTGTTTGATCGCATATCCTCAACTTTAGAAAAATAATGTGTGGAATACCCAAAAAAACCGTGCTAGGTCCTATGTTGTTTTCATTGTATATAAATTACCTACCATCTGTCCTTTCATGCTGAACCATAATGTATGCTGATGACACCACCTTGTTTTTTCCGAGGTAACTCTTTGTCTATGCTAAAAGAGCAAATCACGACAGAATTAGCACAGATTTCCGCATGGTTCTCCCACAACGAGCTCACATTAAATATATCCAAAACTAAATACATCACATTTCATTCCAAGAGAAAAAAATCTAGATTATAGTAAACTGAACCTCAAAATCAACAACATGCCTATTATGCACGTTTCCACATTTAAATACTAGAGGGTTCTAATAGATGAAAACCTAAATTGAAGAGAGGAAGTGAATTGCATATGCAAAAATTTTGCTTTAGCATGTTTCACGCTCATTAAAGTCAAGTTTGACATCCCAAGTAACGTACTTCAATCATTATACTTCTCCCTATTCCACTCTCGCCTCAGTTATTGTAGCAAGATATGGGGTTTTACCTATCCAACATACACTGAATGCAATGCCACAAATTTATCTTGGAAGCGCTTGCAAGGAATTGAAATGAGAGAGACGGTAGATGGGCATGGCAAAATGAACACTCTTTATACCAAGTACGGAAGAAGCAAATACACAAAATTTGCACTTAAAGCACTAAAGAATTAACTATTGAAACCAAAACTAACTACAATCTGCATTAGAGCCAACTCTAACCCTAGCCACCATCTATCCAAGATGGCTTCTCCATAACAAAACGTTCCTACAGTTTGTCGCATTGCCATGTAGACTATGCGCCCTTGCAGTGTCGACGGTTTGTCAATTCTGTCGTTGACGCCTTCTTCGAGTTCGTACCTTCATTGTCCTCTTTCGCCGAACAAGCCGCTCGACCTTATTGCCGGTTGGTTCCAGTCTTCGTCTTATTTTCTGGGTCAGTTGGGCTCCCCCTTACTCGTCAAAAACATCTTGACTGTGGTGCGGCCCGCATACGTTCTGGCTCAAAGCGAACGAGCTGTAGTCCACCCAGGAACTGCGGTAAAAGGTTGTGGCAAATCCGGGCAGTCCCACTCGAGTCTTTTAAAATCAACGGCCACTCCCCGGGCTTCTCCGTCGACAGCCTCAGAACTGGGCCGCTCTACTGCTTTTGTCCCGGTAGCAACACTGGCCTTCCTGATCTTCCCAGTTCGAACCCCAACGCACAAAGACAGCTCATCCTTCGAGAGATTTTTTATTACAGCTCAGGTTGCGCACCACGAGCGTTTCTCTAAACAATCTCGTACGTGAACATGGAGCATAAGTGCCGCATCGAAGGTCTCGCGCATGTGCGCCGCATTCTAGCGCCTGGCACGTGCCTCATGCCCTCTTGCTCATGACACCGAACCAGTCATACAATAACAAAAACGTGGCTTGCGAATCATTTCGTTCTCTCCTTCTTCTTGCCAAAGCTCAGGTTTCTTTTCATCTACTCGAATACTGCCTTTAACGTCTAAGCGAAATTATAAAACCGTGATAAGAATTATTTTCATAGTTAACTGCAACTTTCCAGTATCTATGAGTACGTTTCGAGCTCCGAACCGTAACACAAGACATACAGGCAATGGCAACTTCAACCTTCTATTGTAGGACTGTATATGGCGAGCTGTTAATCCAGTACACTGGTGCTAAATATCGTGAATGCAATTTCACTTGAAATTGAACTTGCACACAACTTTAAATTGATCTGCAAATTGCATTTTGTAAGTCAATCATGTTCTCAACTAAAGCTTATCTCCATACTCTTTTTTAAGACACACCTTGTGTATATTTCTTTCCTTGTTTTTTTTTTTTTTTTGAAAATTCAGTTTCCTTTTTTCAATGCTGTGTTGTCCACAAACTGTGCACTTGTCTTTTTTTCTTATGTCCCTATGTGCTGCATTCTTACAATGTATGCCTTAAAGGGGCCCTGTAACCCTTTTTGAGAATGGTCAAAAAATGCTGCTAGTAGGGGCTCTTGAGAACACGCGAGCCAAATAATGTAGTGTAGCATGCGGCCTTGAATTCAAAATATATTATCAAAGTCAGCTGAAAATCGCTTTCTTTTCTCTCAACAAATGATGGAATATGCTGAAAAAACACACGTAGAAGGCCATCAATGAGCCATTTGCTGGTTTGAACATGGCGCACTCTGTCGTTACAGGTATCGCCGCAGGAGGCCACGACTTGTCCAAGTGTGCACGTGTAATCACACTGAAAAAAGCCGCGTATTTGAAGAAAAAAAAAAGGAAACAGTGCTCAAGGTCACGAGGCATGCGTGACAATTTTTCGCCTTCTGTCATCCCTCCCTGCTTAGCTTTCCAGTGCTTTTGTTTGGACGAGAAAAAAGAGACTGCATTTGCAGGGTGAAACAAATCTTTGTAACTGCGCTAGTACTGGACGAATTTTAAAAATTTTTATGGCGTTGAATTCGTAAAGCAAAAAGTTCTTGTAGTGAATCCATTCCACGGTTACTTAAGAAAGTGTTTTACGGCTCCTTTAAGTTGTTTCTTATTGCTTGTCTACCTATATTACAACAGCAATCTTGTATTTATTGTAAGTGCATTTAAATAGATGTAGTATATCTTGAAGCTATTCTAATATTGAATTAGTATACAGATTCATAGCCATATTTTAACTACACCTCTGTTCCTAACATGTAATAAAATACTCATGTAACGAATTGGGCCAGCAACTAGATTGGTTGATTGATTGATATGTGGGGTTTAACATCACAAAACCACCATATTATTATGAGAGATGCCGTAGTGGAGGGCTCCAGAAATTTTGACCACCTGGGGTTCTTTAACGTGCACCCAAATCTGACCACACGGGCCTACAGCATTTTCGCCTCCATCAAAAATGCAGCCGAGATTCGATACCGCGACCTGCGGGTTAGCAGCCGAGTACTTCAGCCTCTAGACCACCGCGGCGGGCCGGACCAGTAACTAGACGCACAAGCTAAAGGTCCAAATACTTATGTAGACATCTTTTGTATTAATTTGATCAAATAAACATTGATTGACTGACTGATTGATTGAAATTTCAATATTTTTACAGAGACCAACAAGAGAGAGCACTCACACGTCATGGAAGTCTTCCAGTGTGGTCGAAGGTGTGAACACATCCAGAAGGCCTATCACCTGGAAGCACACAAGCAGTTAGGGCACTGCAACAAGGACTGCCCACAAGAGCAATGCCACCAGAATATTTCTTTACTGCCACTACACAATCTGCCTAATGGCACATTTTCGTTGAGAATAGCTCATCCCTCTGGCAAGGCGGCACAATGGTCCCGTGTCTCAATTTGCATGCGCTGATCGTCAGCCCATTTCGAACCATGGCTCAAGCTTCGTCTGTGATGCAGGCCCACAGTTTGCGACTCAAGAAAGCACTTCACCCCCTTCTTTCCATACGCGTGACAAAACTTGCTTGAGGGCCCTTCAAGACCAACTGCATCACATACTGAAGCTGCGAAACGAAACCTTTACAAATGTAGAACAGTGCTTAGCAGAAAGCATTGGAGTCACCATCCTACAAGGCAAGCAAGCGATGACGGCATGCACAGAAAAAAGCACTTGAACACACTTGGTGTGCCACCCAAGCTAATATTTACCTACACTAAAACATGTGATAACAACAAATGTAAGTCTCATGCAATCCTGTAGGCCATGTCTCAGTAGTCTTGATGCTCCACCAAAACAGAGGGCAGCAGAGCAACATCAAAATGCATGGCCAGAACTGCATCACAGAAGAGCAGAGGCATTGTTTCGCAGTAAAAAGGACCAATTAATGAAGTTGGCGCAGTTGCCCACAAGCAAGATTGTACCACTTCACATTGGACAAGGTCTGGAGAGGGGAATGACAATAGTGTTTCGAAATGAAGTAGCTGTGCAGCACAAAGCAGTGATGTTTGCAGAATGTGATCGCCGGGGCCTTCTGCACAAATTAGCAGGCTTGTTTAGGCGGCATATATAGATAGGTTGGAGCCTGTTTACTGCTTGCAAAAATGTTCAAATATGTTGTCTACTTGAGTAATGTCGACCAGAGTCATCCCAAGGACATTATCAACAAAATATGCAGTTTGTTTTTAAGCATCAACACAGGTGTGTCTGTCGGCAGCACATCTCCAGCAACATGAAGTGTAGCAGCAGTGAAGAAGAATAAGGAACATGAGGTCATGGTGGAGGCACACAACTCCTGTCAGGAAGTGATTACAGAGGCTTCTTGACCAATAATCATTGCCAAGGGGTACCTCATTATTACAAACACGAATATAATAAAGTAAAGAAATAATACTTGTATCGCAGTCTGATGAATATACAGGGATGACAAATTTTAGGATATGGCTAATTATTTTTGTACCAGATGTGACTTCGTTATAAAAAAATATATGAGCGCATGTGGCCACCCATGGGACACTATGAGGTTGTTCGGAGGGTGGTGAAAATTCTAATGGTTGACCATATCACGAAGCTACAAAACACTTGCAAAACCATATGACCCAGAATCGCACAGGGGTAACACACCTTGAGAAGGTCAAAACCTTGGCTGCTCTTTGATGAAACAAACGTCTTCGTTTTCCCTTGTCGGTTCATTGAGTATGTCAAGATGTCGGGAGTTGAGGACACTCCCACAGAGTCCACTAGTCATCAATGCCAACTGTGGGGCTGGGCTGCACTCCAGAGATACAGTGCTTATTGTTGGAAACCAAGGGGTCACAAGTGGCGCCTCCATAGCCTCACGTGGCACATACAGCCCTTTGTCAGCACTTGAATGCAACATTTCTTGGTGGGAAAGATCAAGGAGAGAGCTTGTGTCCACAATGGCAACAGCTGTCATGATTGCCAGTTGACCAAACTTGCTGTAATCTTACGTATCTTGAGTTTTTCAAAAATTTTGCAATGCTGAATGACGTCACACACAAAACTGAGGCTCTTTCTTTATAATTCAAAAATTATGAATGTCCTCATCACCACTTTTCTTCCCAAGTGCCTGACTTTGCCTTCTTCCAACTTATCAGCACTTACCAACTTGCAGAGCCTTAGTAGTTCTTTAACGTGAGTGGTGCACCTCTCACCTGCGCCCTTTGCGACAGTACATGCTCCACATTCTTACTTTTGCCGACCGAGTGAAGCTGAGGAGTGGCCAGCAAGTTCAGAGACCTGAACTTCCTATTACAAGACAGCAAACAAGTTTGCCAATCACTTTTTTCCTTTCATGCATATGCACAACAATATGAAGAGACAGAGGAACAAAGACTAAATAAAGGCTCTGCCCTTCCACAGTAGTGGCCAATCATTTATGATTGACTTTCATTTATGATTGACTTGCTTATCGTAAATGTGCACTCAGCCGGGGGCACTGCGGTGCAAAATTGAACAAAAGCGACTGGAATGCTCCATGCAGCCAACTACCTCTGCACAGAGCCGTGCCAGTTTAGCAGTGCTTTTCGATGCCGTGTATGAATTGGTGTGTTGCAGATTGTGTCAAAATTGTAAGAAATACACACTGAAACAAAGTCATCAGTTTTCCACCACTACCATGCTTCAGAAGCTGGCAGGAACGCTGGATTAGTGTACACCACATTAAGGAAGTGATGCCGTGAGCACCCTTATGAAGTGCATGTTGTAGCTAGTTCACTGTGAATTTACACTCCACACAAGCTAACTCATACTTTGGCAGTGATGACAGAACGAAGTCAAAGCAAAACAATCTTGAGTCTACAGCCAACATTTCTTTGGCAGAAAGCCATCTACAGATCCAATAGCTTTCCCTCGTATGCTGCTACTGTTTTTATACTGCAGCACCATATAATTTTTAGATGACAATGCTAGTGGCAGCTATGCAGCCTCTTCATTAAAGAATTTGTATCATCTGATTCTAAAATATGAAGTCCTTCGGTGTGTAAAAACCACCATTGATACTAACGGTGCCATAAAGTTTCAAAACAAAGCAGGTGTTGTTAATGAAGGTTCTTAGAACTGCTTAGGTTTTATCTTTTTTCAACAGTGGCCTCTTGGGGTGATTCAAACTTCATTCGAAGAACTAGAGTATCAATAGGCTCTGGTATTCCCCCTCATTCATGTTACTAATTTCGGGCCCATAAAACACATTTCGTGCTCTCTTGGATGGTGGGGCTCGGTGTAGTCAAGATATTCTAATATGTAGATGACTACCTGGTTTGATCAGATTCCAACATTGTTTTGCCTGCCAACAAGACATTTGCTGTTTTCTGTTTTTAATGAATGCCACAGGCTTCTTGTTCAATCATTTCAAGCTTCTGTTAATGGAGAGCCCGTCCAGTTTTTAGATCTTGCTAGTGAGGAAGTATGTTGTGATGAGCTGAATGGCAGGAAACCCGTCGTTCCATATTCATCTGCTCATTCGAAGCTTGTCAAGCGGGGCATTATGACGTTGTGTTTTAATAACGCCCTTTCCAAGTACTGCCCATATTTTATTCACAAAAGCTTTGGTAATGAAGTTGCACATTTGTGCAATAGGGGTCCCGCACTGCATGTGTTGTGCACTGTAGCAAGTACTAGTACTAGCATGCAGAAGAAAACCAAGGAAGATTACTGTAATACCATTGACCATAGGACGCATGAAAAAAAGGGTTGTAGTCTTGCCCTGCCTTCACAATATTAGTCACAATCTCGAGAAAACTGCAAAACGTGTGCAGAAGTTGCACTACCTGCTCCATTAAGCCTGTGATGAACGCAGGTGTGCACAAGTCACGTGGATGTAACAAGAAGCACCGTGAACTGTTTGTGTTCTGTGTAGAGAAAGGGTGTAGTTTGCGATGAGTCAACAAAAACTACGACGAGTGTTGAAGATTGGGCGAGTTGGTTCGTCGTACTTGAACTGGTATAGCGCATTACAGGGGAAGAAGAAACGGCCGAGCAGACCGACACAAGAGGACAGAGCGCTAACTTCCAACTGAGCTTTATTGTCAAACTGCATCAAATAAGTAGACCGGCGCAAGCATACAAAACCACCCTAACGCAACGACAAGATAACACGCAACATCACACCGTCACATATCACACATTCATAGGCGGTTACCCCGATTAAGGAAGGCCACTTCATGTTCAGATAAACCCAAAGAAGGGGCGCTAATACACGTGCTGCCAGCTCTTGCTATACAATGCGCTTCTATAATTTCTCGAGTTAATTGTGACGGGTGCTTTTTTATCACTTCACACTGGACAAACATGGGGGTACATCCACAATCGCGGCAGTGAATTCCAATGTGGCCCTACGTGCATGACATTTCCCACCGGCTAAAAAAGATAGGGGAGAAATGCAGCGTCAAAGTGGTGTTTTCAGCGCCGGATAAGTTACAGCGGCTTTGCAAAGCTGTCAACCCTCTCAAATCACACACCACTGGTTGCGCAACTAAGCACAAAACTCGGTTTGTGCCGTGTGTAGTGGGGGTTGTTTACGCGATTCCATTCTCATGTGGTATGTGGTATTTCGGCCAAACGGGGCGATGCCTTAATGAAAGGCTAAAAGAGCACCATTATAATGCTCACAAAGCAATCCAGGGCCACATTGGAATTCACTGCCGCGATTGTGGATGTACCCCCATGTTTGACCAGTGTGAAGTGATAAAAAAGCACCCGTCACAATTAACTCGAGAAATTATAGAAGCGCATTGTATAGCAAGAGCTGGCAGCACGTGTATTAGCGCCCCTTCTTTGGGTTTATCTGAACATGGAGTGGCCTTCCTTAATCGGGGTAACCGCCTATGAATGTGTGATATGTGACGGTGTGATGTTGCGTGTTATCTTGTCGTTGCGTTAGGGTGGTTTTGTATGCTTGCGCCGGTCTACTTATTTGATGCAGTTTGACAATAAAGCTCAGCTGGAAGTTAGCGCTCTGTCCTCTTGTGTCGGTCTGCTCGGCCGTTTCTTCTTCCTCGTAATGCGCTATACCAGTTCAAGTAAAAACTACGACAATGACGATGGTGCAGGGGTGAGCGTGTGTGATTTCATGTTAAGTGTGTGCGTGAGGCCAGCCAATCCGTTGATGGCCGCTGGTGGACCATAAAGGTGGCGTGCCACGATTGGGCCACGTGTGAGCATTATGTGGCGAGAAGCTTTGTGGCTTGGGACGAGCCGAAGCATTGGACGCCGGCGAT